TACATATGTGGCTACGATCATCATTAGGTAACGTGAAAATCAAAATTCCGGTGATCAATGTCAGGGGAGTGTACAAGGGTGTTATTTTGAAATCACATTTGTTATTATTTGGAGGCATAATTTTCTAAATAATGATCATAGATTATTGTGAAAGACATATTGTTTCTATCTTTAAATTTTTCGGTTTCATTTGGTGATATTTAATGATTATGTTCTCCATAAGTTTGAATAGATTATTTTCAATAATCAATTGATAAATATTTACAGTAAATAAAGATGAAGTTAAATTAAAGGTATGGAGAATGGTAGATTAATAAAAGTCATGCTCACCGACTAAAACGACTAACAAAATATGAATATACTAAGAGAAACGGGTTGATTTATGAATCATAGTTGTTTACAAAAGACGCAAATGATTGAATTCCCAATGCAAGTTTAATCTCAATAGATAATATAAATTAAGTAATAATTAATATTTGTGGATTATAAACATTGATCAAAACTAAACATTAAGTGCTAAATAGCAAAATTCAAATATTATTCAAAACTTGTTATTTGACCTTGCAATTTAATAAATATTTTAATAAATATTTTTGTGTCATGAATGTTGTAAAATCATGTGTATATTATCTTGAACAGAAAGTTGAAAATTGAATTGTAGAAATGCGCTATGCAACATATCAAATGGTTTAATTTTTGACTGTAACAATGTCATATATAGATCATATACTTTGCAAATTCTTGAGAATAGATATTTCTGTGTGTTAGTAGGTATAGGCTGTGTTTTATACCTGTGTCCAATTACTGTACTTTTAACTTGATTTCATGGTATTGTTCCCATCACTTTTAGATACTGTTAGTAATGCCATAATATTTTGCTTGTATATTGTACACTTTCAGTCTAGTACTTTTTGCTGATTTATTGATATGTATTTTTTGTACAAACAATATCACATGCTTGTATTCAATTCGCAAGTTAAATTATCGATCTTCTGATTGGTTGTTATTAAATTTTTAGAGCGCTATATCATCTAAGAATTGATTTTTTCAAATCTAAAAATCTCAATATTTTATTAAGTCAATGTACAATAAAATTGTATTTCATATAAATAAGAACCATACTTTAATTTGAAAATGAATTTCTAATTTTACACGGGATGTTGGAAACAGATGATATACAATTAATTTTTATTAAAAATACAAGTAAACAATGATAATTTTAATTAATACTAGGGTTAGAGTTAGAAGTTATAGTTAGTAAAAGGCATAGTTTATAGCAAAATTTTATAAGAAATTTTTTTCTTGAGTCCAAAAGATAGTTTCATAATAAATTTTAAGATATCACGAATTTTCACTTTTTTTATTTTTGCATACTGCATTTAATTATATATTTTGATTGGCTTTCTATTTGTTTTGTGTAATAGTGTTTAAACACCCTGTGTACAAATAGAACCAAAAGACGGTTTCACAAGTCATTTCCAATATTTGATCAACATACTGTAAGTTGTACAGTAAAACCTCCTTAAGTGCACTTAACCCAAATATACACATAACTTCCATAGATGTACTAAGTGCACATTGTTAAAGTTCGGTAGCACTTATATGTAGAGGCTATACCGTATTCTTGATGTCTATATATAACGATAACTATCCGCATCAAAAAAAGTAGTCTTAATAACTCTGTTTTGCCGACCTCCATAATAAAAAAGACCAAAATACAGCCTTTAATTCACTGCGCTTTCGGTATATTTATCGTATTTTCTACTAGAACACGATATAATATACTTGATTAATCATATACAATGTCAAATGAAAAAGGCATTTGTAATAATTCATTTGCAGATCATGATAGTCGTGCCTTAAAACAGGAAGATTTATCGTTGCATAATTCGCAGGATTTTTTAAATAGCACTATCAAAGAATTATGTGATCTGTATAATAAAGAAGTTACAAAAAGAAATCCAATAAGCACAATTCTTTACTCCATAAATCAGAATTTTAAAAACAAACAGCAAAAACCCGAAGAAATAATTAACTTATGTTTAAATAACCAAACAAATCCTATTGTCGAAACCAATCCTATAATTCAAAATATTCTTGCATATTGCTATCAATATGGAAAATGGATTAAAAAAGACAATCACAAAGCATTTATTCATTATCAAAAATCAGCAGAGATGGGGAATTCTATTGGAATAAATAATCTTGGATTTTGTTACGAATATGGAATCGGGGTTGAAAAAGACAATATTAAAGCATTTATATACTATAAAAAATCAGCAGATATGAAAGATTCTTATGGAATTAATTCTCTCAGTAATTGTTATCAAAAGGGAATTGGAGTTGAAAAGGATGAACATAAAGCATTTAGTTGTTATCAAGAATCTGTTTATCATGATGATTCTGGTGGAATGAACAATCTTGGTGATTGTTATCGAAAAGGAATTGGAGTTGAAATGGACGAACGTAAAGCATTCTTCTATTATCAAGTATCTGCTGATGTTGGTAATTCTGGTGGAATAAACAATCTTGGTGATTGTTATCGAAAAGGAATTGGAGTTGAAATGGATGAACGTAATGCATTCTTCTGTTATAAAAAATCCGCTAACATGGGTAATTCTAGTGAAATGAGCTATCTTGCATTTTGTTACGAAAAAGGAATTGGAATTGAAAAGGATGAACTTAAAGCATTCATTAATTATCAAAAATCTGCCGAAAAATATAATATTGAATGCCATCAAAATGGAATTGAAACAATAAAAGACTTAAAGAAAGCCGATATGTGGGTGAAAATAGAGCATATTTTAATCTTTTAAAAAAACGAACCCAAATATGTCCCAACTCAGTATGTCAATGTGAAAAAAAATTAAAAATATCCGAAAATTGTGAACAATGTAAAAATACTATAAAGTGTGAGGCAGAATACCTGATAATGTGTAATGATTGTCTTTATGAGGTATTAGAGAGAGAGTCTGATTACTGGTCAAGTGGAAATTTACAAATTGACGAATTTATTAGAAAAGCACAACGATTATTATATCAAATTGCCGAATTCATTAGAAAAGCACAACGATCATTATATTATAATCGGTACCCTGAACGGATTTCATATAATTTTTACATTCGATACCCTGAATGGATTCCATATAATTCTTTAACCAAAGTAAATATTGGTAGAGGCGAATTTGGAGCAGTACTTTCTGCAGAATGGAGCCAAGGAGCCAAAAAATTACAAATTTCTAATAATAAGCACTATTACATTCGATCAGGCCCCTGTGCAGTTGTTTTAAAGAAATTAAAAGATATGAAGCAGCTTTCAATTATTGAAGTACGTTTTCAGGATTTGCTTTATTGTTGTAACATATATGGAATTACCCAAGATCCTTCAACGTCAGAATATATGCTTGTAGAACCCACATCTCTATGTGATAATTGTCATCGTAAAGTGTTAATAGGTGAATTTTCTAACTGGTCAAGTGGATGTTTACTAATTGATGAATTTATTAGAAAAGCACAGCAGTCATTACCTTATGATCAGTATCCCGAATGGATTCCATATGATTCCTTCACTGAAATAAAACCTAGTAGAAACGATTTTGGTGCAGTATGTTCCGCAAAATGGAGCCAAGGAGCTAAACGAATACAAAACTTTAACAATGGGTGCTATTACTTTCGATCAGATCCCTGTGCAGTTTTTCTGAAGAAATTAAAAGATGCGAATCAGCTTTCAATGATAGAAATACGCTACCAAGATTTGCTTTATTGTTGTAACATATATGGAATTACCCAGAATCCTTCAACATCAGAATATATACTTGTAGAACCCTCATCTCTATGCGATAATTGTCTCCATGAAACGTTAAAATGTGAATTTTCTAAATGGCCAAGTGGATGTTTACCAATTGATGAATTTATTAGAAAAGCACAGCAGTCATTATCTTATGATCGGTATCCTGAATGGATTCCATATGATTCCTTCACTGAAATAAAACCTAGTAGAAACAAATTTGGTGCAGTATTTTCCGCAAAATGGAGCCAAGGAGCTAAAAGAATACAAAATTTTAACAATAGACGCTATTACTTTCGATCAGATCCCTGTGCAGTTTTTCTGAAGAAATTAAAAGATATGAATCAGCTTTCAATGATAGAAATACGCCACCAAGATTCATTTTATTGTTGTGACTTATATGGAATTACCCAAGATCCTTCAACATCAGAATATATGCTTGTAGAACCTACATCTCTATGTGATAATTGCCTCCATAAAGCGTTGGAAAGTGAATTAATTGATGAATTTATTAGAAAAGCACAGCTGAAATTGCGTTATAATCGGTATCCTGAATGGATTCCATATAATTATTTCACCAAAATAAAACATATTAGAGGCGAATTTGGTGCAGTATTTTCTGCAGAATGGAGCAAAAGAGCCAAAAAAATACAAAGATTTAACAATGAGTGCTATTACATTCGATTAGATCCCTGTACGGTTGTTCTAAACAAATTAAAAAATATGAATCAGCTTTCAATAATAGAAACACGATATCAAGGTTCATTTTATTGTTGTAGCTTATATGGAATTACTCAAGATCCTTCAACATTAGAATATATGCTTGTAGAACCCTCATCTCTATGCAATGATTGTCTCCATGAAACATTGAAATTTGAATTTTCTAATTGGTCAAGTGGAAATTCGCCAATTGATAAATTTATTAGAAAAGCACAGCAGTCACTACCTTATGATCGGTATCCTGAATGGATTCCATATGATTCTTTCATCGAAATAAAATATATTAATAGAGGAGAACTTGGTGAAGTAATTTCTGCACAATGGAGCCAAGGTGCTAAAAGAATACATAATTCTAACAATGAGCGTTATTATATTCGATCAGATCCCTGTAAAGTTATTCTAAAGAAATTTATGAAGCAGTCTTCTTTCTTGTAGAAAAGCAGCTTCAAGATCAATCTGATTGTTGTTTATATGGAATTACTCAGAATCCCTCGACATTAGAATACATGTTTGTAGAGCCTACATATCTATGCGACAGTTGTCTTCACAGAGAGTTAGTAAGCGAATTTCCTAACTGGTCAAGTGGAAATTTACAAATTGACGAA